GTGTTCGATTAATCGAACTTTTTTTAATCAATTGATTTTGATTAATTATAACGCACATACAGATCCAACTACATTGGCCTATACACATACAGCACAGCAATGAAGTAATAAAATGAACTAGGATCACACTAATCCAGCACGTTATTAATCTCACGTGCCCCACTCAATATGGCCGCCGCTTGAATGGGGCATCTCAGAATAATAACGTGCTGGATTAGTGTGATCCTAGTTCATTTTATTACTTCATTGCTGTGCTGTATGTGTATAGGCCAATGCCTTGGCTGGCGCTCGTGCAGAAAGTTTAAAAAAAAAATTAATCGTTAACAAAAAATTCACGATTAATCGAGAAATGGATCGTTAATTTGCACAGCCCTATGCAAAAGGAATTGTTTTTGGATCAGTCATTCAATTATCTTTCACTAAATTTTTATTAGTTTAACAAAACATACACTTAACATAAACTGAGCTTTGGGAACTCCAACAAAAGCTATTTTGTGTTTGGAAGGAGGGTAACTATGGGAAAAAGGGGAAGGGATTTTTATCACCAGTGTTCTTTCGATTCAGCATGGTGAGACCATGCATGAAGTTGCTAGATCCATCTATCTGCGTGTTCCTCCCCAGCATCATTTTCTTTAGTGGGCCTAATGCTTTATCATGCATGTCAAAGCAACCAATGTGATACTCCAGGTTACAAAATGAAAGCGAAAACCTGGTTTCTATTTGGCAACATCATTCTAACATCAGTCTCTGAGTTTTGAGGTTTACTTTTTTCCATAGGAGGTTCCTGCCAGAAGAGTTATCAGTAGATGGATGTGTGCTACTGAGAAAACAATGGGCAGCTGATCTTATTTCCCTCATCATTCACTGCTGTTAAATACTTTTCTCTCTGCTATAAATCTTCAAAGAGAACTATGGGGTAAGTGTTTTCCCCCTTAGTTCTCTTTAGGGTCACGGGATGACATATACTAGAATCCTACTGGGACGCAAAGCTCAGTATATTGCGGGCTATTACTGAGACCGCCACAGCCAGGACAGATCCCGACATTACTGTCGATCCGCCCAGCTGCGTGAGTGACAGCTGGCTCTGCCTATCTAGAGGTAGAGCCAGCTGTGCCCGTCCCCTCCCCCTTCCGTTATTCCAGTCAGCGCTGAAGGATTGGAGGGGGGAATCCCTGCAGGGAGCCGTGACTGACGGTCACCGCTCTCTGCAGGGAGACGATCGAGAAGTGAGTGAGCGACGGTATGTGTTCGCTCAATTTCCGATCTATTGAGTCGACCTGTGACAGCTTCTTTGTCACAGGTCGGCTCCAACTATGAGGATGAGTGGAAATCACTCCACCTCATAGTTCTACTTAAAAAAAATCATCCATATGGATAGAAATATGCAACCTCCCTTTGATGACTCGTCTAAGAAGGAACATTCTCGGTGGCCACCATCTTTCTCATTGCTTTTCTGTTTGTAGATCTCTAACCCATAACAAGCTTGTGTATATCAAATGTCCCCACATACTGACTGAGTGATTTGTGTCTATGAAGTAACACAAGGATAAGACTGACAGCCCCTGCCTTTCTATTCCGGTCTTTTATTAAAGTACATTTTAATTAAAAAAAAAAAAAAGCATTTCCCAGTCAGTGCTTGCATCTTTTTGAATGCTTGTACTGTTCGTCCGACAATTGTCTGAGGTGGGAGCCATCAGACAGGGTCATCAAGAATTGGCTGACATTTGCTCAGTATACAACAAGCTTTAGGCCCTATTCACACTTATCTGTTTTCATGCAGTAAAACACATGAAAATGCATTGCAAGCAGAAATTCTATTCTATGCTATGTGGCTGGTTCACATATATGCACTGTAGTTTAGTGTGAAAGTTAATGAGCACATACACATTTACACATGTATGTTGTAGCATGTGCTGCAAGGCACATGGAACATACCATCGCTGTAGCATAGGAGGAGACGGGCTGGAGAGCATGCTATGACAGCCGGCTGGCTTGGAGGATCAGGTGAGTAGAGCTTTTTCAGTTTAGCACCTAGATGAATATAAGCAGTTATCCCTTGCAGTGCGAGTGGTAGCCCCACTGCAAGCCCTCATTCACAGGGATAACGGCCGGCCCGTACAGATCCGCGCTGCGCGCACGGCCGTATAGGACAGCTTCCGGGAAGGACAGGTGCTGTGTGTAATTTTTTTGTACGCAGCTGCCTGTCTTCCTCTATGGGGTACGCCTGCCGTACGCCACCCTACGCTCACCCGACCTGCACGTCCGTGTTTGTAGGCCAACAGGATGGATCCTGTCTGCGTCCGAGCAGGGACACCCACTCCCATACGGACGTGCAGGTCTGGTGAACGTAGGGCGGTGTACGGCCGAGTACACCCATAGAGAAGGACAGGCTGCTGTGTATAATCACACGCAGCACCTGTTCTTCCCGGGAGCGGCCCGATACGGCCGTGCACGCAGCACGGATCTGTGCGGGCCGGCCGTTACCCCTGTGAATGAGGGCCAAGCGATAATAAAAGTTTGGCCTGGAGTTCTTCTTTAAAATAGACAAGTGATGTATATTTGAAACTAATTTAAAACGGTATTTGAAAAGTCACATAACCTAGTTAAACACCCAGAACTCAAAGAATTTCCTTGGATGGAAGTCCTCTTTACATTTCTCGTTTGGTTAGTCTTTGTATTTGATTGCCGGCTAAAAATAGGGAACAAAATCATCCGATTTGTTTGGAGCGATATATAAATAGTCTTTTTATGAATGCAGCTGCTAGACTCGCCCACCTAACCAACTGCTCAGCGTCTCCAACCCCCCTCTGCCAATCCCTCCACTGGCTTCCAATCGCCCAAAGCATACCATTCATAATATTAACAACCACTTACAAAGCCATCCACAACTCTGCCCCCGGCCGTATCTCCAAACTCATTTCAAAGTATTCCCCCTAACCGTCCCCTCCGTTCATCCCAAGACCTCCTGCTTTCCGGCTCGCTTGTCAACTCCTCCCATGCTCGCCTTCAGGACTCCGGGATACTTGTCTAGAGTCTCTCCCATCCTTTTGGACTTCCTACCTTAGCCTGTCCTGCGATCTCCTACTGTCTGCCTGGCGATTTCCTGTAGTCACATCTCTTAAGGGATGCCTATTCCTCCCTAACCTAACCACTGAACTATCACTTTCCCACACAGCTCCCACCTCTTGTATCACTTGTCCCTCCCTTTTACCATCTTGAATTGTTTTTCAGGGTTTTTAACCACCTGCTGTCCGGCCACACAGCGGCTTCCTGAATGCGGGTGGGCGTTTTTAAACGTGCCGCTAGGTGGCGGGCACGAGCGGGAAATCGCCCTGCAATGTAAACAGCTGTATACATGCAAGCGTTCGGGCGTCTGTAGAAAGGCCTGATCGCTTGCATTATGTGTGCGGGTGTGCGGCCCCTCCGCTGCTGGCGATCCCGAGCTCCGCTGTGCCCGGTGTGAGCCCGGGACCAGCACAGCAGCTCTGCGGCCGGAGATCAAACGGAGCTCAGTACACAAGCTCCGTTTGATCTCCTCCTCCTCTTCGGAATGCAGGAAGTGATGTGTATTACATCACTTCCTGCATTCAGCTGTCACTCTCCGATACAGAAACCGGAGAGAAGCCGGTGAAGCAGGTGTTTGCTTCATCAGCTTCTCTGGGGGTCCCTAGGTGACATTAGGGGTCTTGAAGACCCCTGATGTCTCCATAAAGAGGACCTGTCATTGAAAATTGGCTATCACAAAGGGGGCTTGTTAGTCCCTTATGTGATAGCAATAAGGTTAAGAGAAAAAAAAATGTTTAAAAGAATTAGTTCCAAAAAATATACAAAAAAATTAGTCGCATATAAAGGCAATAAAAAAAATGTAAATATTTTTTAGGTCCCCCGCCCCTCACATACACATGCAAACATGCGTCGAGTGCGCCTAACTACGTAAACAATGATTGCATCCATTGCGTCGCACATGTTACGTATCGCCGCGAACGTCGCAGTGAGAGCAATAATTCTCGGCCCATCAATCACTGATAACACTAAACTGATGAGCTGTAAAAGCTTTTAAAGCGTCGCCTATGAGCAATTGTGGGTATGGTAGTTTTTGCGAGTTCGCGGACGCACGCAATTTTAAAACTTGACATGTTTGGTGTCTATTTACCCAACGTGACCCCGCCTTTTATATTTTGCCAAAAATTTGGATAATAATAACTGTTTTATACCATAACGTAGGGAACACCATTTTTTCCCAAAAATTTTTTAGGTACTTTTTGCATTGTATAGTAAAAAAACCAAAAACCCGTAGTGGTGATTTAAATACCACCAAAAGAAAGCTCTATCTGTCCCCAAAAAATGGTATAAAATTGATTTCAGTACAGCGTTGCATGACGGAATGAATGTCAGTCAAAGTACCGCAGCGCTGAATACTGAAAAATGGCCTGGCCAGGAAGGGGGTGTAAACACCCTGGTCAGCAAGTGGTTAAAAAAAAGACTTTTACAAGCAGCACGAATTCACTTCTAAGTAGTTACTTACATTCCTTGTCCTTAAGCTGAGATACTTGTGCAAGACATTAAGAAAAAATAAGTAGCATATTGTCTAAAGCAAATCTATATCTTAATACTGCTATTCACATTTTATTAAGACTTGGCATTTTACTTTAATAGCTCTCTGCTAGCATTTGGAGCGTTTTCCATACAATCTCATGCCAATGTTGACCCTGGTGGATTAAAATAGCCTTTTTTCATCCATGACCAAATTTGGAGCTGAGAAATCTGCCCACTGGGAATCTGTAAATGCATTCTAGTTTATGGAGTGACAGGTTTACACAATGATTGTTATTCCCAGTACATGGTTTAAATTAAAATCTAGTATTCCAGTATAAAACGAGGAGTACGCTGCCAGCTTTGCATCTGTCTTTCCCAGTGTTTTTATTGTCTTTCTGGTAACTGAAAAGTAAAAATAGTCATTGCAGTGATTTGATTTTTTTCCCCTTTCTTTTTAAATCTAGATAAAGATACGATAAGTAAAATCCGTGACTTGCGTATGAAAGCAGAAGACTATGAAGTAGTAAAGGTCATTGGCAGAGGAGCTTTTGGGGAAGTTCAGTTGGTATGTATGTTAATTTGTTTGTGCATGCTAAACCATCCGGGTGTTAAAGGGGCACTCTACCTGAGCTGGGGTAGACGAGTGACTGAAGAAAAGAAGTTTAACACACTTCACTTTATTGCCATAATCCTTAGGTTTAAAATCCCTAAGCCATATATTTCATTGTGCTACGAAACCTGCCTCTACATAGTATAGGATTTTTCTATTGTTAATCAGGAGGTCTTCTGATAAATGCACTATAGCAGGGGGTAGACAAACTCTGGCCCTCCAGCTGTGAAAGTTCTCTTTCAGGTCCCCCTCTGCTGATTGACAGCAGGCCGTGGGCGGGTACAATAGCCAGCCTGCTATTGGCTATTGCAATTTAAAATATCCAATAGTAGGCTGGCTATTGTTTCCAGCCGCTGATGGGAGACTTGATGCCGGTGTTCTATTAACCTTCATTTATATTTTTTAGAAGTCACTTAAAGTAGTGTCAAGCGCTTTCGGGACCGCGCAGGGTCCCCTTCATCAGGCTTAAAGTGCCTGATTGGTTCACTTTAAGCCTGATGAAGGGGACCCTGCGGCGGCCCCCGAAAGCGCTTGACACTACTTTAAGTGACTTCTAAAAAATAAAAATGAAGGTTTACTGAACTTTGACTTGTTTGTCATATTGGTGTGCTGGAGACCTCTCTTCACAACAATCTTTGCCTGACGCGGCGCCATCCGCGGTCATTGCGAGCACCCATTTACTTTATGGGAAGTCCGGTAAGGTGCGCTACAGGTGTTTGGACATTTGTACTACGAAGGATTGATAGAACACCAGCAGAGGAGGAGGAACGGGGTGGCCGGAGGAGAAGGAGGAACGGGGTGGGCGGCGGAGGAGGAGGAATGGGGTGGGCAGAAGAGGAGGAATGGGGTAGGCAGACAAAGGAGGAGGAGGAACAGGGCAGCAGCGGAGGTACAAGGGGGGGAATGCAGTCACCACAGTCTCTTCTCAATTTAATCGATTAGTTGTTGCAGCCCTTATATCAGATTTTAGACTGTATATTATCATCTTTGCTAATATAGTGGATGATATTCTTGGTGATTTTCATTGGAGCTTACAGTACACGTGAGGAGAAAAAAATTCTGTTAGACTGTGTTTTGTTGTTTAAGAGAAGCTGAACATTGTTCCCTTATGTGCCTCAGTAAGGGGAAAGCAGTCCGAGGGATTCCCTGAGATTTGGTCTGAGTCATCCAGGGAATACCCAGAGGGTAAAACACAGAGGGATTCTGTAAGATTTCCTTGAAGTCACTGCCTGTTGATTTCATGTGTTGCATGTTGTGCTCTAGGAATTGCTCAGTTTTAACTATGTTCATTGTTCTGCGTGTGACCTCCTGTTTTTATTTATCAAGGTAAGGCATAAATCTTCAAGAAAGGTGTATGCAATGAAGCTCCTAAGCAAGTTGGAAATGATAAAGCGATCAGACTCGGCGTTCTTCTGGGAAGAGCGAGACATTATGGCGTTTGCCAATAGCCCTTGGGTGGTGCAGGTATGTCGGAATCCCCATTGGATAGAATGCATGCCATTGTGGCAAAGCAGTATAATAGCTTTTAAATCAAACTTTTTGTAAAGGTTTGTATGTTACAAATGAATAGTCCTGGACATTACGTAAGAGAAGTAAAAGAGCAACTCTAGGCTAAATGTACAATAAAGCTGGCCATATACTGCTTAGATTTTCTAATTAACTTTTGTACGAAAGATCTTTCGTTCGACTTTCTATTAGGTGATGGGGTCATATCAACGATCGATTTCAACCATAGCCATGAAAAAAGTCGAAGGAGCAGGATGGAATTTTTCTCCTGAATTTAATTCTGTAAATGTGGTTTTCTTTCGGGAAACTCAAAAGAAATTTTGTCATTTGTCAAGTGTGTGTCGTCATTATCGGGTGGTAAAGAAAGATCTTTCTTACTAATGTTTGTTCGGAAATCTACTATGCGTACTATCCTAAAAACTTGTGAACACTACAAAAGTCAGAAAGCCACTTGTTAGACTTGAAGTGAGATCTTTTGTAGGGAGAAAGCACTTGCTCTTGTGGGCTTCTCCAAAATACTGGAGAGAGCTAGAGCAGTGCAAATGGACGAACAGCCCTTGGTTGTAATGTCAAAGTTTTGCCCACTTAGAATGGCCCTGCATTCAAGGCAGGGGGGTTAGGGCAAAAAACTGCTAAAGCTATGTGCTCCTGTTGATGCCTTAAGCTTGGCCATACATTTTGTTTTTGTTTTTTTCTTGTTCAGTCCTGTGGGACTGCATGAGAAAAAGACTTGAATGTTTAGCATAGATGGGGGAATTCCCTCTGCTGGGCTCTTGTATTTTGACAGCGACGGGTGAGCTGTTGTCAGAACATCCGAACCCTGACTGCAGTTCATGGACAATCACCGTTTGGCTTAGAATTTTCAGCCCAGCTCAACCTACAAAAGTGAATCGAAAAATGGACTTGTCGCATGGAGGGGTGCTGACGGGGCCCCACACACTTTTCGAATTGTGGTCTTGTCAGCTGAAATTTGAGCAGTGTATGAGCAGCTTTAGCTTTATAACTTTTAGCAGCTTTGGTTTTTTTTCTTTTTGTTAGTGATAGTCACTTAGTGCATGCAAAAAATAAGCAATGTAAATGAAACCTGAGAAGTTATCATGAAAGTCTGACAAGTCAGATGAAGTCAGTGGACAAAGTTCTTAAGTGAGAGGTACTGCACAACAAGCAACTAACAAGGAGAGGTCAGCAATGGCAGCCTCCATGTTTCTCTTGTAACCTGCGTGTACGTTTTTTGAGATAATTATTTACATTACATCAGCAGTCGAATGGTACATCTACAGCAGGGGTGGCAAACACAAGGCCCGCCGGACCTTGTAATGTGGCCCGCACAGCAGCCACCTCATTTTGCCATGTCTCATGGCCCTATGTCAGGGGGTCGGCACCCCGCGGCTCTTTCGTCCTTCTGCTGCGGCTCCGCTCCTTCTGCCCACTGATCTGACAGATGCGGTGATCGGGGAACGGGGCGGTATCTCCACATTTGTCGAGGCCTCGTCGCAGCACACCACATAACTCCACCCCCTCGTGTTTGCTTAGCGGCCTTAGTGGGCCGATCTATGCAGGGATTGTGGCCACGCCCCCTTACGCCGTCTCTGTGGAACCGCCGCTGCTTCCAGCTGGGAGAGTGAAGAAAAACCTGGTGTGTCCCCTTGAAGGCAGAGAGCGACAGTGTAAGTCCTATGGAAGTCCCTGGAAGGCACTGTAGTGTCCCTGTCCTCTTCCATCATTTGTTCTTTTTTAATTTGACTTTTTTTTTTTATGTAAATGAGAAATGATCTTTATTTGAAACTGTTCTAGGCATGTTTTTATTGAAGTGACCAGCAGCAGGCCACAAAACAACAGGATAGTAAATGACATTCACATAGTGTATTTAAAAACATAATCCTTGCAGTGCTACCTCCACAGTACAAGGTTTATCTGCTTGTTTTGGTCTAGGGGATGGAATACAGAAGATATACTCACCTGATCCTTGGTTTTATGTCAGTCAGAATTCACTTCTCTCCCACTCCCACTTCAGCTCTGCTATGTGTTTCTGCATCCTCACATTTAATACAGCTGAATGGACCTGCAGTAGATGTGAATACATCAGCGTGCCTTAGACTGCAGTCTGGCAGCTGGGCGGGACCGGGATTTTTTTTTTATTCGAGCCCCCAGACCAGGGGTCGGCAACCCGCGGCTCTTTCGTCCTTCTGCTGCGGCTCCGCTCCTTCTGCCCACTGATCTGACAGATGCGGTGATCGGGGAACGGGGCGGTATCTCCACATTTGTCGAGGCCTCGTCGCAGCACACCACATAGCTCCACCCCCTCGTGTTTGCTTAGCGGCCTTAGTGGGCCGATCTATGCAGGGATTGTGGCCACGCCCCCTTACGCCGTCTCTGTGGAACCGCCGCTGCTTCCAGCTGGGAGAGTGAAGAAAAACCTGGTGTGTCCCCTTGAAGGCAGAGAGCGACAGTGTAAGTCCTATGGGAGTCCCTGGAAGGCACTGTAGTGTCCCTGTCCTCTTCCATCATTTGTTCTTTTTTAATTTGACTTTTTTTTTTTATGTAAATGAGAAATGATCTTTATTTGAAACTGTTCTAGGCATGTTTTTATTGAAGTGACCAGCAGCAGGCCACAAAACAACAGGATAGTAAATGACATTCACATAGTGTTCATGTTAAAAAAACATCATTTAGTCAGCGCTCTTGAATTTTCCATTTACATATGGAACATAATCAAGGAACAGCCTCAAGTTTGTGGCCCAAATCAATCCAATTTGACTTTTTTTGATGCTAGCATCTTTTTACTGTGACTTTGACTGTGGGGGAACATTAGAGTGTAAGCTCCTCTGTACAGCACTGCGGTATATGCCAGCTATATAAATATATAATAATAGTCTCTTGACATCTGCTGTATTGGGAGTGGGGTGCTCTGGATGTCTGCTTATAATTATTATGAGAATAATTTAATTCCATGCCAGTTGAAAAGGAGGGTTGCAGACTGCTGGTATCGTCCACAGGAGAACTTTATTGAGGACACCATGATTACTATTACTATGATAATAAAGAGTAGATGCATAGTCCTATACAACCGGCCCTTTGAGGGTAACCATACTGCTGATGCGGCCCCCGATGAATTTGAGTTTGCCACCCCTGATCTACAGTCTCCCTCCATAATATGTAGGCCATGTTGGTTTCTATGGGTTGTTTTGCCCCTGTTAGCACTACGTACTGTAAATCAGAAATTTGAACTGCCTGTGCACAATTATATATTTAATTACTTTAGCGCCTATCGCTGCAAATGCAAAGATGGGCTGTTTTGCGTTATGTACCACAACTATTTTTAAGCTTAGTCTGAACTGGACTTTAATTCATGAATACTGTGGTGCCAGGTACACACTCATAATGTAGGTGGGTATTTAATTACATGATATAAAACAATTTTCCAAACCTTAATCTGGCTAAGGCTATTTGTGGGAATCATGGATTACAAATGCCAATGATTTTATTGGTTTGAATAGATAATTCTTACGATAGTGATTCCACTTTAAAAGTTTTTTTATGTTGCCTGTAGCTATCCACATTTAATGAATCACATTATCTTCTTATCGAGACATGTTTCTCAATAATTGATGTCTAATTGAGGCTGGGTTATTCATTTTTTTTTTCTTCCTTTATACAGCTGTTCTATGCCTTTCAAGACGATCGTTATCTGTATATGGTAATGGAGTACATGCCTGGGGGAGACCTTGTAAATTTAATGAGCAACTACGATGTTCCAGAGAAATGGGCACGGTTCTACACGGCTCAAGTGGTTTTATCATTAGATGCCATTCACTCAATGGGTTTCATTCACAGGTAGGCAACAAAATTACCAGTTCATTTCGCCGCTATGCGATCCGGGCTGGCTGGCTGGATCAGGCAGACGCGCCCTCCAATCAGGCACTGTAGAGGGCCGCTCGCAGTGGCCTCGGAAGAGCGAGCGACCGCCCGATGACAGCCGGGTGAATGTGGCAGAAAGAGGGAGCAAGGGGCTTCGTTTAGCGGGGGTCGTGACGGCGCCCCCCCTCAGTCCTGCGCCCGGGGCAAGTGACCCCCCCCGGTTGTTACGCCACTGCATTGGAACTCATGTCAGATTTTGCTGCAATCTGAGGCTCCGTTGGAGAGATTGCTTCACTTCCAGAAAGTGAGGGAGAATCTCTAATAGGGTATAAATACACTTTAAATAATGAAAGCAGATCTACAGACAAGAATAAAATAAATAAAACCAGCTATTACTGCAATATTCACTTTAAATCCGGAGATTCGGAGATTTTTTAATTTTTTTATTTCCCCTTTCACAAGATGTCCTCAGTCTGATGGCTAGCATAATGCAACTCCTCTGCCTCTGTGCCCAGGTCACCCTTAGCATCTCTCTTACCTCTGTCCTTTGTCTATCTGGGATTGGGAGATTACCCTTAGATTTGCTAGGGCCCGATGTTGAATGTTGTAGATCTTTGGACTAGGATGCTGAGCCATTCAGAACGCAGGATAGAAGTAAGCATTGTTTGAACAATTTGCTGCCTTCTTACCCCATTTCACTGGTTAGTTCCTGAAGTGGGGTGATATTTCAGCGCTCGATTAGATCTAAAAGATAGAGGCTTATTGTGATTTTTATTTAAAGGTTTACATTTCTGCAACTAGATTTGGTACTTGTTTAGACTGTCGATGGTAACCATTAGTCCTTTTATCATCTACATTTTGTTGCAGTAATTGCATAGATATGTTTACTGGCTGAGCCAATATGATGCCCTTTATTGGACTTTCTGATTATTACTGATTTCCTAAAATGAAAGGCATCAACAGTAATGTGAAACAAATGTAATGAAATAATTAATAAGCCCTTTCAAGAAATCTTTTTTCTTTTTTTTTTCCAGGGATGTGAAGCCTGACAACATGCTACTGGACAAGTCGGGTCATTTAAAACTTGCAGATTTTGGTACATGTATGAAGATGAATAAGGTATGTTGTATTAATGGCTTTTGCTGAATGATCTGGTAAATGCAGTAGTTATATGTATGCAAAGATTGTGTGAGCTTAGTTATGTAGTCTTAACTGCATAGAAAAACTTGTGTATTTGTGATTTGAAGATTAATTAAAAAAGAAGTATGGCCCAACCTTTTTTGGCAATAGTTGTCTTTAGGGTCACAGCAGGACATTTACTAATGTCCTGCTGTGACCCAAGACTCAGCATATAGCGGGATATTACTCGCGATATGTTGACAGTGCGGAGCTGCACTGCAGCTGGGAAAGATCCTGGCAATATTGTCAGGATCCACCCCACTGCTTGCTGTTGAATGAGGTCTGAAGCCTATTGATGCTGAAGGTGCCCATGCAAGAATTCTCTTTCCCCCCCAAACTTATTATTAATTCTTAGGGGAGCGATTCCAAAGTACTTCTGTATATCTCCTTCATTGGTGTGCAGTAGGAATAAAAATGGCCCCCTTTGTCCTTTCACTGGTGGTCAGTGGCTGTAGGTCCTGCTTTGGCTTGCCAGCTGTCCTGTTGAGTACTGTAATAACTCAATATCATTTTTTTGCCAAACAGGAAGGAATGGTACGATGTGACACGGCTGTAGGAACTCCTGATTACATTTCCCCAGAAGTGTTAAAATCACAAGGAGGTGATGGTTATTATGGACGAGAATGTGACTGGTGGTCTGTAGGAGTCTTCTTGTATGAAATGCTTGTAGGTAAGTGATTTGACTGTATTTACCAAGCACCAATTTTTGGCAGAAAATCTGAGGACCTGTTGGTTGCAAGAGCTATGCCGGTGTCTCGCCATTGATTAGTATTGTTTAGTATTGATTTGTATTATATTCTGAAAATAATAGTTGCCTGCCAATACTTTGTCAGTGATCTGAACAAGCATCAGATCAGAAAAGTCAGAGTGAAATCAGATTAGCATGACAGCCAATAAACTAGTATTTTAGTAATGGAAGCCTCCATACTTTGCCACTACAGGTTTCTATTAAAGGAAAAGAAACCTTTCCGGAGGTAAAATGGATGCTGCCATTGCTGATTTCTCGTCTACAAAAGCTGGATTCTTGGTAGTCATGCTGACACTTTGGCATCAATACTTTGAGTCACAGACCTTGAACAAGCATGCAGATAACTTCTGACTTCCCTGATAAGCATACTTGTTCCAGGTCAGTGACTCAAAGTGTTTTAAGCTAGAGGGTCAAGTAGTAGCCAGGCAACTAGCCCTTTCAGGAGGTCAGTATTGGCGGCCCCCATGTTTCTCTCAGAAAAGGTTCACTTTAGGTACATCCATCTCGGTATCCATGTGGTAATCACAAGAGAGAGAGAGTGAGGCACAGGTAAGCACTGTGATTAAAAAATACCTGTTGGCAAAGGGTTTTCTAATACATTGTTATGCATTGCTAAAGCTTTTGTGCCTAATTATTATATTAACACCTAATTTATGTGGTTTTCTCTCCCTTTTTTGTAGGTGATACTCCCTTTTATGCAGATTCTTTGGTTGGAACTTACAGTAAGATTATGAACCATAAGAACTCTCTTACATTCCCTGAGGACAGTGAAATCTCAAAAGATGCAAAGAACCTGATATGTGCATTCCTCACTGACAGGTAATAAAACATATTCTGATCCAGGTTATTCCTGCTACTGTAACTTAATGTACCGTTCATTGTTCTCATGAAAATGGTTTACCTTTTGTGACCAGACCTATGTAGATGTTTTTATAGAATACATGGTTCTGTATTAGCTGCTTGGCTTGATTATTAGCATGCATTACTATGGAAAAGTCTAATGCACATTAGGTTACAGATCTATTTGTCTTAGATGGTTCTTTTATGACTTTTGGATTAGTGGGTCAATAGAAAAAGTTCCAAACATTGCAAAAAATGGAGCAATCCAATAAGTTTGAATTTTTCAGAACAATGAAACTAGCATACAAATAGACCATAAGCAAATATAGCTCACATGTTTTGTTTTAATTGTTGGGGTGGTATGGATTTTTTAAATACTGTTATATGAATTTTAAAGCTGCCTTTTGGAGGGGGTTGACCCTAAACTGAGTTTCTCTGTGTCTTGTATGGAACGATAATAAATGATGTTCTCTTATCTCATGATCAGTGACATAATGTGTAGGGTAAACTTAAAGGGGTTCAAAACCCTCCGTTTTTTTTTTGCCTATATCTACTGCTAGCAAGCAGATATTGGAAAAAAGTTGGAAAAAAAAATTTAACAGCGGTTTACACTTACCCTATTTTCGCTGCACGCTCCCTTCAGAAAATCCGAAACTGCTTGGGCGGCCGCAAATCATCTTGGGGCGGGCGCATGCACAGTTCGGATTTTTGGGCGGGAGATGAGCAGGGCACCCGCATGCAGACACCGCTGGATCGGAAGTGCCTGCAAGCAGAGAGGAGTCAGCACTGGATCGGAGATAGGATCTCCTCAACATGCTGCAGTGAGGTGTTAAAAGTGTAGAGGAGGTCAGCATGTGATAGTTGAGTCATCTGTTGGCAGCATTTAATGAAAGTAGGGGTTCCAGAGATACCTGGAAGATATATGTAGTCGCATAGGTAAATTATATGCAGGCACCTTATTGGTCAAGCTTTAAGGAAATAAGGATCATTATTACTCATAATTTAAGTGAAGTGATAGTAGCTGCCTTAATGGGCAATGCCCTTCTAATAGCTATTAGTGCCAGCTGTATATCCAGAAGCTCCTTCTATGATGACACAGTTGTTCTATTTGGTGCCCTTAGAAAGGCCATGTCTAAGGACTGCAATGTTATACTGTTAACCAACTCCACTGGCCTAGTTCTCCTGATTATTTGCTAGTACATGCATAAGAGATTGGTCACTTCTATTTCTGTTTGTGATCTGATGTTTGTTTTCTGTATTTTTGTAACTGTGGCTACCTTATCACAGTAGTTTAATTTAATTTGCTGCCTTGCAAGATAATGTGTTCCTTTAGCAGTTTTTTATTAACATTGGCACATGTGCTTTTTTATGCCATTTATTGCCTTGTTGTTTTCTCATACTTAACAGGTAAGTGCAATTTCTCCCACACATAATTTTCTGACCCTCACCTTCCTCAGCCTATTCATGATGGGGTATATTTACCTACATCCCTGATCTTCACTGTGTGGCCTTCCATGTGTTACACAGCCTCAGTCCAGATTTGACTGAGGGGTTGCTGCATGCCACTGCCTCCATCACTTTTGTTGAAAAGCTCATCTGTAATGCTGCAGACAGGTAATCTAGTAAAGTGAAAGGTGGCTGCTTTGCATGCGTACATGTACTGCTCTGATGATTTCAGTCAGAGGCTTTGTGCTTTGAACAGGCTGTACAAAGAAGAAAGGATAAGTGTACTCGGCTTTTATAATGAAGTCTGAGCTTTGTTTGTACTATGTGTAAACACTACTTTCACAGATAAGGCACAGTGGATGGGGTGAGTACAGACAGTTTGAGGGTTTTGGCTTATTGGGCACAGTATCAGCTCATCCATTTTAGGAAAATGATATAAAAGTCTATTTAAAATGGAGTGATATTGAAAATTCTAAGCACTCAATGGCCTTATCTTTAAATAGACCAGAGTCTCTGAGCCTTAATGTATTTATAGTGCTGTGATTCTGCAGCCATACAAATTATGTGCATAGGAATGGAAGAGGTGACTTGGAGAAGCCTGAGCAAGAATAAACAAAGTTTGCTGGGATAGGTAATGGATCTGATGGGGCTAGATTACTGTTAACACAATTAAAGTGAGTCACCCTTACTTTAGATTTCTTCTAATGTGTTACAAGGAGTAGAAGGAAGATTTACATTTAAAGTTTGTTTGGGACACTTCGCTCCAATAAACATTCTCCAAATTATTTGTGAATGTGTGCTTTGTGTGTGTGTGCTTGGTGTCTTTTGTGAAAGACGCAGTCATTCTAGTACATTGAAATGAGGGAATTGGTGGAAACACATCACAAAAGATTTTGACCTTGTAGGATATGAGTTGACATTCAACTGTTGTGCTCACAGCACTGAAAGGGAAAGCCTTATAGGGAAGCATGCACAAGTACTGCCAGATATAATCTATAGAATCAGATTTGTGGGCAGTATGAATGAAATCACTTTCTAATTCTGTGTCATTTTCATCTAAATAAAAAAGTTTGAGCCTGTATAAACTGATAGAAAGTCTCTGACAAGTGTCTTTGTAAGGAAGGATTTAGAATTGTATGTGATAGGAGCCCAACACCTGTTGCTGATTTAAAGTATATGTAAACCCAAAGTAATTTATATTTCTTGATTGTGCATCACAGAACACAGGGAGGTAATTCTTCTAGGTATGAGTTATGTTTATTGGACACTGGCAAATCAGTCAGAACTGTAGACAGCCAGTGACAGCCCTGCATAAACCCTCCCTCTCCCAGCCTGCCTCAGCTGTCCGCCCTTCTGCTGGACTGCAAATATTCTCCATCTTAGCTGCCCTGATTCAAAACCTTCCATTGATGGGCAGTTGAAGAAATTGTCCTTTGGGCATAGTTTTATCATAGGCTGGATGGCAACTGTTGGCATGGAGAAGATAATTTATCTATATGAGTTTGGAATAGCCCTGTTCATAAACCTTCTAATCATCACAACTACCACACAGTGTTATGTCCAAATAGTTAATGTGGGTCTTTTTGTTTTTCTCCAGTAAATCTAAGATGGCGCCTCTTATTATTTAGATATGATAAAAAAAAATCCAACACTGACATAACTTGGTATACAATGAAAATCATATCGATGCTGAGAAAATAATGTAATCTCTATAGGAGTTAGTATCCCCAAAAACATGGAACTCTTTCGATAACCCCGTATAGAGGTTGCAATCTTGGCACCATTGAGGTTCCCCGTCTTTGGAGATGGTAACACCCATCAAATAGAAAATGTTTGTGTCCAGAAAAAAAATAATCACCCCCTCTAAGAGGAAAGTCTTCAAATCCAAGGAATATTAAGTATAACAATCCAGATAATGATGTATATCCCTCAACCCTAAACGATGGGGTATACCATAGTACAAAACATTTACCGTCACAAATTAACCACTTACTACACTTGGATTTGCTGGACTTTTGACACGTGGCTTTCATTGATGGTAATTTGTCATATTTATGTATCATATGATCAGTTTTTGACCAGGTTTATTTTACCACAAATTTCACTAAATATTTCTTTAACAGGGAAACCCGGTTGGGGCGGAATGGTGTGGAGGAAATTAAAAGGCACCTTTTCTTCAAGAATGATCAGTGGGCATGGGAGACACTTCGAGATAGTAAGTTAATTGTCAGAGAGTTCAAATTTTACAGGCAGAAATAATTTCTCTTTTTAGATAATTTTATATTTTAGTGCAAGCTTGCACCTCTGCTATTTAAAAGAATCTTTTTGAGACGAGGAAGCAAGGCTGTAGGGATGCAACCCAAGAGATAGATGACTACTTGACCAGATTCCACTTACAAATTGATAAGCTACTGCTACTGTTTTCATAGCCAGTTGGAGCATGACTTTTGATCACCTGCTTGACTTGCAGCTGCCTGGAAAGGATTACGTTGTATGAAGAGTTCACGTAATATGTTGCATTTTTGGTCATTAAGTGTTTTCCAAGTGGATTCTTAGTTCAATGTATAAGCAGGAATATCTGTGTGTATTGGATATAACAATTTATCTATATATGCACTTCATACATGTTAATTTTTTACTTTCTTCGAAGCTGTGGCTCCAGTTGTCCCAGATTTAACGAGTGATGTGGATTCCAGTAATTTTGATGATTTAGAGGAAGACAAAGGAGAAGAAGAAACATTCCCAATACCCAAAGCATTTGTGGGCAATCAGCTTCCTTTTGTAGGTTTTACATACTACAGCAACAGACAGTAAGTTGATACATGGCTTTAGTCTTCAGCATGATTACTATGGTACCATTGAATCATAAGGTAAATCTACGGTCACTGTGTGCTAACTTCTCCCTTTATTGTTTTGCAGGTATTTAGCTAATCCCGCGGAAAGTCCTGATGACAATAGATCAAGCTCCAAAGTAGATAAAAACTTGGTATGCCTATTCCCTAGACAGATGCATAAAGTAGCCAGTGAAGTATGATAGCTTTGTGAATCTATTAATTGACAACATTGAAGCTTCAGCTCATAGCTACAGAAGAGCCCTGGGGCCATGCTAAAAAAATATGAAACATAATTACTTTTTGTTGTCTTTTTTTCCATAACGATTCCATAATGAAAGTGAAACCAAACCTGATTAGTTTGTGATATTACATAAAGTGATTAGTTCAAGTTTGTGATAGAGATTCTGAATATTGTATTACTCTGCATGCATAAATATTTTCTATTCATCTTTGATATTTAAAGTTTTTTGTACAATATAAAAATAGATTTATTTTCTTTCTTTGCCTCCTTAGATTGAGAACTTGCAAAAGAACATTTATCAACTGGAAGAACAGCTGCATAATGAGATGCAGCTAAAAGATGAAATGGAGCAGAAGTGCAGGTCAGAAACGTATAGTACATATTTCTCTTTTAAAATCCTAGCTGAGTAAAGAGGATTTGTTATGTGTTATACTGGGGCAATTTTAGCTTCTCAGCTTTTCCTTTACATTGTCTGTAATCTTCAGGCTTGGGAGCCACATGTGGCTTTCAGGTACTTTTAGTGCAGCTCCTGGATGGTACTCCGCACCTGTTTCTTTGTGAACAGCCGCACTATGCAGCTCTTTAATTCATTAAACTAAGATAAGATCATCTCTCCAGTTTTAAGAGCATATTTAAGAGTATTAAGAAAAATTTGTAACCTGTGTCTTAAAGAAGAACTCCAGGAATGTTTGTAATTAACCCCTGCAGTTGGGCTACTCCTGCACGGCAAGGTTTAAGTGCTCATTTGTGTCTAGGTGCTAAAATAACAAAATTATACTCATCCAAAGCTCTGAGCTGGCCAGCTGTCACAGTGCTCTCTCCAGCCTGTCTGCCTCTCCCTGCAGCATTGGAAGAGATGTTGGAAGTACTGGTCCAAGAAGAAGCGGGCTTGGAGCTTCAGTTTTTGTTTTTTTTTAACCTAGAAACAAACAAGCACTTAACCCTTGCAGTGTCGGGGTAGCCCCACTGCACGGGCTGATACCATTTTTTTCCTGGACTTCTTCTTTAATAGATTGTGTGGCAATAGTTATTTGTTTTGTTCAAATTAGGTTTACAAGCTCAAGTCTCATGCTTGTTATTGGCTTTGCTGGTGGATCCTTTGTTGGGACACTATTCTAAAGGTGTGTTTGTTGTTATTGTAAAGATATGGGTAAAGGTCCACTTTAATGGAAATTAAGACCTTGCACAGTTAAGAACAGACCTCCAACTATGCTTTCCAAAACCATAATGGCCAATAGGAGGCAGACCTTGGACTTTAATTTTCTTATAAACCAATTTATTTATAAAACATTTTTGTGGAAAAACCATCAATATAAATAAACATGAGAAAATGCATCCATATATCTTTGACTTTTCTCTGGGTAGTGGTCTTACGGTCAACTAATTGTTGTGTGATTGCTTTTTTTAAAATATCTACCACTTATTTTTGCATGCATCTAGTTTTTGTTTGAACTCTTCAACATCCAGATATATTATGTAATGGCTGTATTACATACAGTGCCTCATTGCAATGTATTGCATGCATTGCTCCATACCACCTTTAGCAGACACACAAACATTATATCCTCGAGTACTGAGGAGTTATGGGCTGGCTCTCTGAAGTGTGTGCATGCATGCTTTTCTCCTTTTATGTTTTCTTGATAGAAAACACAAACTTTGCGGAGGCATGCTATCTTGGTGGGGCTGAATGTGCAAGAAAAGAACCAATGGCGGATGGAGTGGTAGGACAAGCAGCTCGCCATCCACATATTCTAAAAATCTACAAATTACGTTGCACAGTTTGGAAGACCATAGTTCCCTGTGTGACTGCTACAGAGTATGATTATGAACAAATAGGAAGTGCCTGCTTAAACTGTGGTAGGCTAGGTCATAGAACTGTATTCTCTTTGGAGTTTTATGTACCACTGTCTAGTGTAGTGATGTCCGTGGGCTTGGTTCGCCCAAGCCCACTCAAAACTGCGACTGACACCCAAACCCCATTCCCGTCAGTGATGTCAGCTGTGGCAGGGTCCTTCGGCCACCACTTTGTGATGGTGAATGTGCCTGCCGCCACTGTTTGGGAGGGGTGTGTGTTGGTCGCAGTTTTGAGTAGGCTTTGGTGAACTCAAGCAAACACCAAACCCAAGGTCATCACAAGTCTATAGTGGGAATCCACAAAACTTATATGTGATTACCTGCCCAGATAACTTTACAAATATGTTAGCTTACAAAATGTAAACCTATGTACAAATCTAATATTTTCTTAGTAGTAGTACTTCCATTGTAAATGTAAATTTGATAGCAAAGCACAGTCAATCAAACTAATGAAACAATACCATACAATTGTTCAATGTGCCAAAATCTGTTTTGAATCTGTTTAGCTAATTTCTTTAACTGCTTATGACACAAAGTCTACATAACCCATAATCCTCCATGAATTTTTCATTCATAGAATGTCGAATATTAAACTTGATAAGATAATGAAGGAACTGGATGAGGAGGTAAGTCTGTTTTGGTGCACTTTACTTTTTTGATCAACTCTGTATGCCATCTGTTATC